TTCTTTCTTTTCTTCTTTCTTCTTTCCTTCTTTCCTTTTGCCTTCCTTCCTTCCTCCTTTCTTTTCCACACAGGGATGGCAGTCCCGTCTGGCTCACACAGTAGTGAAGGATGGGAAATGGGAACATGATGGAGACTGACAGCCAGCCAGAGGGAGCAGAGGCCTCAACTTAGACAGGCTGGCTTGTCTTTCAAGGACTGACAGATAACGCCAGGGCTAAAGCTGGATTAGGAATTAGGCGAAGCAGTGAGCAGGAAGACTGAGAGGCGAAAGGTCCAGGCGGAGTTACCAGCACTTGTGGAAGTCCTTTGACAGGATGGGGACTGCTTCTTCTGTCAACTGAAGGAGCCAGTGTGGCCGGAACTTAGCAGAGGGGAAGGTGGTGCTGCAGAGTTATGGAAGGCAGCAGGACTTTCCCAAAAGTCACAGCAAGAATTTAGGATTTAGTTTCTCAGACGTCCCTGGTGCTGCCGTCTGCACTTATGGCTGAGAGTAACTCCGTGAGTGAAGCAGGGGAGGGGGAGAGCTGGTTTTCAGATTTCGAGTGTGAGCAATTAGTTGGATAGTTATGGGAAGGCTAACAGGAAAGAACAGTTTGGGACATAACAAGTAATGTCTAACATTAATGATTTCAAGTATATCATCAGCCTCACTGGAGCCTAGAGGTAAGATCAACACCTGAGTATGCATCTAGGCATTGTCTTTATAAGAATGGTATTTGGGCCAGACAGTGGTGGCACACGCCTTTAATTCCAGAACTTGGGAGGCAGAAGCAGGTGGATCTCTGAGTTCGAGGCCAGCCTGGTCTACAGAGCGAGATCCAGGACAGGCTCCAAAGCTACACAGAGAAACCCTGTCTCTAGAAAAGACCAAATAAATAAATAAAAGAAAAAGAATGGTATTTATTGACTTGGTCTTTTTTGGTGTGTGTGTGTGTGTGCTCGGGCACGCGCTCGGCAGTCTCCCTGTGCAACCTAAGCTAGTATGGAACTCATGATGTCTCTGCCTCAGCCTCTCCTGAGTGCTAAGGTTACAGTCCTGCACCACTCTGCCCAGCATGTAGGTGGTATTTACCTAGGAAAATGGACAAGACTACTGAAGCCAATGTATGGCTGCTGTGAGGACAGCCTTCAGCAGCGCAGGGTTGGAGGGGGAGCCACGGAGTCGGCGAACAAATCACTCAACTTGACAGTTCTATCTGAGGGAGTAAAACTTAATTCTCTGGGGCTGGCAAGGGGGGCAAAACAACTTTCTGGGGCTGGTGAAAAAGGGAAAACACACAAACACACACACACACACACACACACACACACACACACACACACACACACTCCATTAGGGCCTCTCTATCATCTTCTCCTTTCTTTTTCTCATTTCTATCCAGATGTTTCCCTTCTGTCTCTCTTGATGTCTTCCTTCTAACTAACTTTATTTTTTTCCTTACAGCTTTTATACCCCAGCAAAATCTTGCAAGCACTATAACAATTACAATGTGGTTACAATCTATTGTCTAAGTGAATGATTACAATGAATACAAGTGAAAAACAGCATGCTTTCCATATCCCTCACATGATTAAACATTTTATGTGTTACAGGTGAAAAACAAATTATCTCCAAAAACCCACATATGTCATGTCCAAGCAACTTGTTATAGATTAACAGAGTGTAAGCAAGCAGTTCTTTTACTGGCAGGCTGCATTTTGTGGTTACAAAGAAAGGACCAATCACTTTATTATTTATCTCAAAATTGTAAAAAATCTTAAAAGAATCACAAATCTAAACTTTTATATATGAAAAACAGCCAGTCAGCTCTATTTTAATCCTCAGGGTGCACACCCACTCACCAGCAGTTTTTTGTTTGTTTGTTTGTTTTTTATATCAGGAAGCTGAGGGCAGAAATGGATACAAGGAATTAATCATCACCCTTGGTCACCAACCCATCCTAGCAAGAAAGGTATGTCGCCAGCAATAGCTAGGCTACCATTGTTCCTGGTCCCTGGCCTCAACGAATCCCTTGTTCAACTATTAAAAGTGTGTCTTTCTAAATTTTAAGTTGTTCCTCAAGATTTTCTACCTCAAAGCCATTAACAAAAACATCTTATGGGGCTGGAGAGATGGCTCAACGGTTCAGAGCACTGGCTGTTCTTCCAAAGGTCCTGAGTTCAATTCCCAGCACCCACATGGTGGCTCACAACCATCTGCAATGAGATCTGGTGCCCTCTTCTGGCCTGCAGGGGAACACTGTATACATAATAAATAAATAAATCTTTTTTTTTTTTTTTTTTTTTTTTTTTTTTTTTTTTTTTTGGTTTTTCGAGACAGGGTTTCTCTGTGTAGCTTTGCGCCTTTTCCTGGAACTCACTTGGTAGCCCAGGCTGGCCTCGAACTCACAGAGATCCGCCTGCCTCTGCCTCCCGAGTGCTGGGATTAAAGGCGTGCGCCACCACCGCCCGGCTCATAAATCTTAAAAAATAAATAAAATAAAAAAATCTTACTCTAACCTTACTAGCAATTCTGCATGTCTAAATTCTTTCTAAGGGTGGTGGTTGAGTCATTAATCTGCTTTGCAGCAATGCTTGGAAAAAGTCAATCGCTATTACTATAAGTACCAGTGACACTGCCCAGTGAGGGGCTAAAACCCCCTGAGTGTTCATGCAGCCACATCCAGCTTTTTGTGATGGTTCTGGGATCCAAGCTCAGGTCTTAAGTGAAGTGTGATTCTAATTAGTCTTATCAATTAAAACCAGGACTCAGATATGGGGTAATAACCTGAAAGATCAGAGAAGCAGAGCAGCAGCCACTAGAGACTTCTTACCTCTATAAATCTTCAGACCGAATGGGCCCAAGATCCTGTCTCCACCTGCCTTATATTCCTGTCTCCACCTCCCTATTGTGCTGGGATGAAAGGCTAAGTTTCACAAATGTGGGATCAAAAGAGTGAGCCACCACCACCACCACCGCCACCGTTGCCGCCTGGCCTCTATGGTTAACCGGTGGCTAGCTTCGCCCTCTGATCTCCAGGCAAGCTTTATTTGTCAGAACACAAACAAAATATCACACAACACTTAAGAGCACTTGCTATTCTTCCAGAGAACTGGAGTACAACAGCACCCAAACCCATTCCCAGCATACCACTGCCTGTAACTCCAGCTCCAAGGGACCCAACACCCTTTTGGCCTCCTTGGTCACCCATATTCGCAATATTTGCAGTATTCAAATACTCACACACAGATGTAAACATAAATAAAAGCAAAAGCAATACAAAACAAAACAACAACAACAACAAAAACCCGAACTGTGTGATAGTTCCTTTAGCTAAATCTTAGAAATTTAGTGGGGAGATGCTATGTCAGAACTTTGGTGGTGGCTGTGGCAACAACAGCAGCTTTTATTGTCCTTGGATCAGCCAGTGTCTCCTAGCAACGTGGAGATGCCTGTCAACAATTAAGTGCAGCCACACACCTGGCAAGTGTGAAGACTCAGCACACCATCCTAGAGGGGAAACCATCCAAGACGAATGCACTACGTTCTGTGATTATTCGCCTGGGTTTGAAAGTGCCCAAGACATTACGCGCTACACTTTTACTCAACTGACAATGATGGTTTGCAGAGATGATGTAGATAACTGTCTTCTTCTCCTGATTGTGGACGTAACACTTTGGTGTAGTCCAGAAGTTCCAATTATGCTCACTGTGGCTGAGCTAACAACCATTTTTTTTTTCCAAGACAGTGTTTCTCCATGTAGCTTTGGAGCCTGTCCTGGAACTCAATCTGTAGCCCAGGCTGGCCTCAAACTCACAGAGATCCGCCTGGCTCTGCCTCCCAAGTGCTGGGATCAAAGGTGTGCGCCACCACCGCTAACAACCATTTAATCCGTTTTACCACTGACAGGTATTGTGACCTTCAGCAGTTATTCAGCTCCTGTCTCCAAATCCCATAGCTGTAAAAGTAGAGCCAACACTTTAGAGGCATCCAAACACTGGCTAGGATAAATGATCTAAGCGGCTGTAAGTCCCATAAATTCTCCAAAGTATAAATGTGCAGCGTAGGGTGGGGTTAAACACTGTCTCATTCCTGTGCAGAGGTGTAATTAGCGTCTGGCCTTGTTAGCCCCACACACATCTTTTATTTTCTGGCTCCTTCACTGACCTGCTTAAACAGACTAGCTCCTTTGGATGTTGTTTCCATTTCCCTGGTTATACTTGGATCCAGGGGGAAAAAGTCTTAAATGGATTTTGCCTTTGAGATCCTTTGCAACCAGATCTCACTTTTAACAGACTTATGCAGGCTGAAGACTGGAGTGAGATTTCTGCCTATAATGAATTGTAGAGGTGCCAACTCCATAATTTTCTGTGAGAAAACTGGCACACTCTGCCACTGAAGTTTAAAGATAATTTGTCTGAATCTCTTCAACCAAATGAAGCTTTGTAATCAATTATGAACAGAAGCAATGAGATACAGTCTAAGGGTCTGGAGGGATTTGAGACACAGTCAGCACCAATCTCCATCAAAGTTGCTAGGAGGTTGCGGCAGTCGAAGGCACTAATATTTACAATGGTAAGTGATGGCAACACGGGCAGCATGGCCTACTCTGGAAGCAACTGTCTATCATTTCGCAGGATGGCTTGAATGAATGTCAGAGCTGTCAATTACAGCTGTCCTTCAGAGAACTTTAGTTGTCCATCTCATTTAAAAGGAAGAGAAAATAGAGCCACAAGGAAGGATGATTTGACGAGGGTGGCCTTGCAGATCACTTAGAATCTACAACAGGGGCCTGAGAGGCAGCAGTCGGGGCGGTCCTGGTGGCTCCCGCGGGAATCCAGCGTTCCGCAGACGGCCTCAAGAGGGTTACCGTGGGTTCGAAGTCTAACTGAGCTACAGTACAAAACGAAAACAAAACCGCACCAAAACAAAAGTCAGGACAGCCTTCACACTTGTCCGAATTCGCGCCTGGAGGCAGGGACCGGTGGACAAAACAGGACCAAGGTGTGGAAAAGGCGGAGCTAACGAAGTTGATGGGGCTGGACCAGGGGCGGAGCCTAGAAGAACTGGGTGCGGCGTCCAGGGGGCGGGGCCGTGGGCTTCGTTCAGGAGCAGAGGAGGCAGCGGCGGGTGGCTCCCGGGGAACGAGCGGAGTTCGGCGGCGGCGGCGGCCCGCGCGCTCCGTCCCTCCCGGCCCGGCGTTCTCCGGAGAGGCGGCCGTCGGCGGGCGGGCGATGGCGGCGCGGGGGTCGCGGCGGCGCGCGCTGCGCCTGCTCTTGATGGTGCAGCTGCTGGCCGGGCGCTGGCGGCCGGCGGGGGCTGCGCGGGGCGCGCGGGGAGGTGAGCCCGGGCGGGGTCGCGGGGTCGCGCAGCGGGGCTCCGCTCCCTTTCCCTTTCTTCTGGGAATTCGGGGTGAGGTTCCAGCTTAGCGCCCAGCTCTGTGCATCCAAATGCAAAGAAAAGGCCAGTTTTGGCGTGCGGTGGCTCGCGTCGTTGGGGCGGCTGGTGTAGGGTGTGCCTCGGTACAACTTTCTCCTTAGAGCGTGCCGCGCTGCCCTCGGGCTTCCCACTTCGTCGCTGGTTCACGGTGTGGAGACTCTGGGCTTAATGCTTGCCTTGGAGACTGTATAGTCCACCCTCTCCCACCTCACTTCTGCAGGATCTAAGATCTTTTCTTTTGCCAGAAGATGCAAACGTTTGCTGAAGAAATGCTAGGCAGTCCACACGCCCGGCTTCCGGACTCATCGCTTGCATTCTGGGTTCCTCGCTGATTTGGAGCGTGGTGCCCCCCTCTCTCCGCCCTGGCCAGTGTTTCAAGATGTTGTGGATTGGGATAGGAGCAAGCAAACAAACAAACAAAGCCTAGTACTTTGAATTTCCAGTGCTTTAGTAGATTTTAGTCAGCCCTTTCAGTGCTTTTGAGGAAAATGCTACCATTTCTGGAGCGCCTGTGGTGTGTCCTATACAAGGGCGGCAGAGGGTCGCGGCACCTGAAGCTCAGTTTTAGTGAGAAGAGGAAGCCTGGAGGACCTTTACTTGTCTTTCTTTCGTTAAGATTTTTTGTTTGTTTGTTTGGTTGGTTTTGAGTCTTTGAGAAAGGATTTCTCTGTGTAGCCTTGGCTGTCCTGGAACTCTCTTTCTCTGCAGACCAGGCTGGTTTTGAACTCCACCAGATCCACCTGCCTCTGTCTCCTGAGTGCTGGGATTAAAGGCGTGCGCGCCGCCGCCGCCGCCACCACCACCACCACCACCACCACCACCACCGCCCGGCTTTGTTAAGATTTTAAACCGTGAGTCCTGATTTTCTTTAGGAAGTGGTAGTTTTGTGGACTAGAATTCCCGATGACAGGATGGGTCTACAGAACTATCTTTGCCCAGAGTGTTATAGTTTAGAGAAGGAAAGGGATGTCCTGGTCTCAGATGACGTCTCCAGTGTGTCTTAGGACAGAATTCTCTCCCCTACTTTCCTTATTTGAAAAACGAAGACAACACTGCTTACTTTCCTCAGCCATTTTCATGATCGATTGGTACATATAAAATGCCAGATGGAGTCTGACAGCCCAGAAAATGGTAGTTCCCGTCTCTTTGGAGCTGGAAATTCAGACAGGTTTCTCAGTTTTAAGATAAATCACTGTTGCTGAGTCTTCAGTGGTACATAGCTAACTCTTCTGCAGGGTTTGGTGTTTTAACCTAAGTTGATGACCTTCTTTCGGCTCCCACTCAGTGGTACTTCTTTATTAATAACCATCTTGTTGTATTACAGTTGTTTGATTTTGTTTTTTTTGTCCCATGGGAGCGTCTTCAGAGCTTCCTTTGTGTGTGGGTATGCACATGTGCTGGTGGAGGCCAGAGGTCAGCGTGGGTATTGTTCCTCGGGAGCCATCCACTTGGGTTGGTTTTTGTTTGTGACAGTCTCTCACTGCGACCTGGGGCTCATGGGTTAGGAGAGGCTAGCTGACAATCCTGCTGAATTTCAGGAATCTGCCTGTCTCTGCCTCCCTAATGTTGGGATTACCAGGGCAGCTGTTACAGATTAAAAGACCTCCTAGGCCTTTTACTTACGTTTTGTGGTGGGTCAAACTCGGGTCTTTGTGCCTGGGCCGCAAGTACTGTACAGGCTGCCTTCCAGCCCCCAAGAAGCTGCGACCCTTTCCTGTTTGTCTGTGTGTCCTCAATCCCTAGTTTATTACAGGAGACTGGTGAAAATTTATAAATGAGTGAATGGAACAGTACTCTCACCCTGGATGTTTTCTCACTTATAAGAACGGCCGTTAAATAGTCCCCTGTATGGCTCTAAACTTCTTACCCTCTGTGCATTCTGAGGAAGCATTGCAAAGAAGACAGTGATACAGCATGATATAGCTGCACACTGGCCAGTAAATGTTAATATGCCTTTGTGTTCTACTACCTTCAAATTCGCAGTGGCTGAGGTACTGTGTGGGGCTGAGAGACCTATTCACTGGCTGTGTTTATTTGGGCATATTCAACGTGGCTGACTTCCTCTCTCTCCCCCTTTAAGATGATAGAGTAGAGGTTGATGTTTTTCAGAAATTGATTTTATGTTTTATTGTTTTCATATTCATCTTAGATTCTCATCATAACTCTTACAGTTTCCTACCAACCAATTCCCAGACAAAAAGAATTCTTGTCAGCCAGCAGCCGTACTTGTTTGGCTGACTGAAGGTCACAGAGCTGTGGAAAGTAGACTGGAAGGCAATTTTGTCTGCAATGAAATATAATTTACTAGTACATTAAGATAATATAGGTCTTTTGAACTGACCTTCGATGAGGACGTTTATGGAAATTAGTCAGTCATTAGTTAGGTATAGTTCTTAGCTGTGTGACAGTTTAAATGGTTGAAACTTTATTTATTCTGGGTGGCAGTGGCGCATACCTTTAATCCCAGCACTCGGGAGGCAGAGGCAGGCGGATCTCTGTGAGTTTGAGGCCAGCCTGGTCTACAAAGTGAGATCCAGGACAGGCTCCAAAGCTACACAGAGAAACCCTGTCTCGAAAAACAAAACAAACAAATAAAAAAGAAACTTTATTTACTATATGTTCTCCAGTCAAAGGAAGATAAAATAATCCATAGAAAGTTTGAGCTCTGAAGGTTTTTTTTTCTTGTCACTTTTAGTTTTCATTTACACTTTCAGAAACTAACAAATACACTCAAGGTGTCCATCAACTTCACTTTTGTCATTTTTTAAAGAAAATATTGACGTTTATTGAGCTTGCTCTCGGTGCTCTGGCTTTGTATGTTTTAATGCCCATGAAACAACCCAGAGTGTGTGAAGTATTATTTCCACTGACTCATCCTACAGGATTTATTTAGGACAAATCAATGTTTTAGGTGCTGGTGATAGGAGAGTAGACAAAGTCTCTGCCTTTTTAGAGCTCGATTTAACAGATGATGAGGTTGATATACAACTAATTTATATGATTTGATCTAGGCCACAGCTAATGAATGAGAGAACTGGGTTTGAACTTGGGTAGTCTGCCTGGGACTTTGCTTTTAATCAATGTTCTCAGCTAACCTCATATTTTAACCAGGCAACGTAGATGAAGCAGTCAAACTAGGTATTTGATTTGGAGGAGATGAATTTTTTAATATATATTTTTTAGTGAATATAGTTTTTTCATATAATAAATTCTGATGAGGTTTCCCCTCCCCCAACTCCTTCCAGATTCCCCCCCCCCACCCACCCACCCACCCAACCCTATGCCCTTTCTGAGAAAAAAAAATCTCTCTTAAAAAACAGGCAAACAGGCCGGGCGGTGATGGTGCACGCCTTTAATCCCAGCACTCGGGAGGCAGAGCCAGGCGGATCTCTGTGAGTTCGAGGCCAGCCTGGTCTCCAAAGCGAGTTCCAGGAAAGGCGCAAAGCTACACAGAGAAACCCTGTCTCAAAAAAACCTAAAAAAAAAAAAAAACAGGCAAACAAAACAGAATAAAAAAAATACAAAATACACACACACACACACACACACACACACACACACACACACACACCAACCCATAAAGCCACAAAATCAGAAACCATAATACATAAGTAAAAGAGCAGTTTAAAAAAAAAACCAAAGCAATATGAGACCAAAATACCCTTAAATTTGTTTTGTTTTGGCCGTTAACTGCTGGGCATGAGGCCTGCCCTTAATGTGGTTAATATACCCAATGAGACTCTGCTGGAGAAAACTAAATTTTTTCTTTAAAAGAAGTGGCTAATTTGAAGTAGCTTTTTTGTTACGAGTAGGAACCATGTGTACTTCCCCCTCTCGGTGCTGGGACCCTGTCTGGCCTGAACCTGTGCAGGTTCTGTGCACGCTGCCGCAGTCCCAGGGAGTTCACAGGTGTGTCAGCCCTGCTGTGTCTGGAAGGCACTGTTTTCTTGATGTCATCCTCCTCTGGCTCTCACAGTCTTTCTGCCTCTTCTTCTGTATAGTTCCCTGAGCCCTTAGGGAAGGGTGTCTTAGGGGTTCTGTTGCTGTGAAGAGACATCATAACCACGGCAACTCTTATAAAGGAAAACATTTCATTGGGGTGGTTCCCTTAGAGTTCAGAGGTTTAGTTTATTATCTTCATGGCAGGAAGCAAGGCAGCATGCAGGCAGACATGGTGCTGGAGAAGGAGCTGAGAGTTCTTACACCTTGACCTGCAGGCAATAGGAAGTGGTCTGAGACACTGGGCATATCTTGAGCGTAGGAAACCCCAAAGCCCGCCCCCACAGTTGACACTTTTCCTCCAACAAGGCCACACCCACTCCAACAAAGCCACACTTCTGAATAGTGCCACTCCCAATGAGCTTATGGGGGCCAGTTGCATTCAAACCACCACAGGAGGAGTTTGATAAAGACATCCTATTTTGGACTGAGTGTTTCAAAATCTCTGTTTCTGTATGCTGTCCAGTTTGTGGGTCCCTGTGTTAGTTTGCATCTACTGCAAAAGGAAACTTCTCTGATGATAGCTGAATAAGACAGTGATCTGTGGGAATAGCAGAATGTCACGAGGAGTCACTGTATTGCTGTGTTCCTTTAGCAGAGTTATAGTGTTTGGTTTTCCTGTTCGGTCTCAGGTTCCTGGCTACCAGGGCAGTATCAGGCATGGATTCTGTTTTGTGGGGTAGGCCTGGAATCCAATCAGAGGACGATTAGTTACTCCCACAATGTTTGGGCCACTGTTGCACCAGCATATCATGTTGTGGTCACTTGTAGACTGCACGGTTTGTGGTTATCCTTCTTCTCTGGTAACATGCCGAGTACCTTCCAGTACCGTGAACATCGGTCCGTAGGGGTGAAGAGTCTAGTTAGGCTCCAGCTTGACGCCTCTGTGTTCAGTGAGCTAT